AAGCTGATGGCAACCCATGACAAACAGCTCTGTTAGCTTCTAGTGAAAAGAGGCACAAGATTAGAAAGAATGTGATGTCATTTCTAAATCTGATTGTCATTCTTTTTACCATGTTTGTGCTCAGGAGTTTACATCTGAACATGCTGAATCTGAGACATGAACGCTTTAGATGTGCAACATAGAAACAGTTGAGTTGYACATCAGTCTGTCCTTTTAGAAGGAACAYTGGACCTCATGGAAGAACCGTTGGTACGCACARATTTGTTCTTAAGTTGTTCTTACGAGTGATTTAGGAGAACTTGTGGCATTCACCAATGTTTTCGTATTCTAAGATTTTTTTCAGATACTAACAAAATTCACGAGTGGTCCAGACCTGTCGTATATTTTACGTGCAGTCAGTCTGCTGTTATCCAGATGGATTTTCTTCACTAATAACTTTATATTTCATTAGTTTGAAGATATTTCGAGTTGAAAATAAATCACACTCCATAATTATGTTGAAAATAGGCTATTCTGTTTGAATTAGAATTATAATTTTAAATGTAATAATGTAGACWAACRACATAAAATGGTTAAATYAAATTACATTGGCTATTAATGATGTTGTATAACACTGCAATATTAATATGAAGTTAAYTGAAGTTTGGAGACATTTTAAAATGCCTTTTTTTTCAGAAACACATCTGACCCTTGCGGCAGGGGATGGGGGGGGGTGGGTAGCAGTACGCGACTGCTCTTCTTCTGAATAAATGAAAAAGGCTAACAGTAACACAGTTGTTTACACTTGAATTAAAAATATTTGACCAAAGGAAAACCAGAGTAGGACTAGAGAGAGATGAGTATGATTTAGATTTTTATTTCTGTGACTGTATATACGACCCACAGGAGACAGCACATTAACAGCACAATTCATTCCTTTAAGCAGCTCCTTTAATTCCCCAGCTGACGCTGCTAAAAATGACATATGCTCTTTTCTCGATCTCGGAGAGCATGAGATCAATCTCCGAACTCGTAAAGTTCTTCTTTTTACTTTTCGCTGTCATTTTCATGAATGGACACTTCCTGGGATCTGAGGCAGGAAACAGCCTTATATGGTGTTTTTGGGGTAGTAATTATGCTATTCTCCTCTCTGCGTGCACAAGTAGCTGGATACGAACAGGTGGAATTCATCATGTTTACGCAGCTCATTTACACACTTTTCCTGAAAATAGAAGAGTTTGTTGAATCTGACGTGGCATGTTCGTACRAACCCTTCGTATGAACAAAAGTAAGAGAAATTTAGGATAAAAAATACGARCATGTTCTTRCATGCGGCCCATTGTCTKAAGTGRTAGTTGCTGTGGAACTA